TATCAAGTGCACATAGTACAGGCAAAAAGAAGTAATTTCTTTCTCCAGCATACGTTGCCAGCTTTCTCCTCGTTGTCTCAGATGCAGGCTGATCTTCATTTAGTCCTTTCACCAGCCTTTGTGTGAGGCCTTTTAAACTGCAACAAACTGTTTTCACGGATTGCAGGAAGGATAAGCCTTTCTCCTTCACCTTCCCATGCTATTCTAGGAAACCAAAGCTGCATATCACCTTTGTAGCAGTGACAGATTGGGAAAATGTCTCAAAAGTATAAGTCAGAATAATAATCTTCAAAGTGTTCACATTTGCAGAGTCTCATCTGTCACAAGCGTTAAAGATGTTTTTTAAAAATTAGATCAGTCTCAAAAGTTAAGGCTCAACACTGTAGGATTGAGTAGGTTTTACAGGGTACACCAGTTCAGGAGAAATGATGGCATTTTCTTCTGCAAGGTCAGCTAAAATATTACAAAATATTGTTCCAGGTGATGTTCTTAGGTTGCAGGAATGGTAGCTGGATGACCTTATCTGACAATAAAACTTAAGTTATAACAATATTCAGGTTTAAATTCCCCCTTAATCCCCATTCTCAATATTTGGCATATTCTACCTGACTCAGTACATTACTATCTTTCTTAAAATCTATATAGCTTTCCCAGAGGTGCCAATTCACGCTAATGAATAAGCTGAATTTAGGCCATTTGAATGTGGCTTAAGTGCTTACACATCTTTAATTCACAGAAAGTATTTTGGTCAAGGTTGTGAGCTAGTCACCAGCTGGTTTATAATGTGGCCCCAAAATATCACTTATTGTGACAGATGGCACATTGGTAGCTTCCACATATAGCACTGTTTCAAACTCTGACAGAAATCTTCTCTAGTGAAACTGAAAAGTTTCACTTCACCTTTCAGAAAAAATGACATTTATATCTCATCTGCTGTAACAACTAATAATAGTTATTCGTCTGCTACTAGCTGGCAAACCTGATCTGCAAGTTGCAAGACAGCTCTTTTCATATGAATTTCCCTAAATCAGCTGCTAACTGTAAATGCAAACTTTATGATTTTACTACGGCAGGGCAAAAGAGGGGAAATTACATACTGATTCTCCACTGAACGGGGTTAGAACTCAGGAAGAGTCACAATATTTTATAATACCAGAATCAAAGGAAAAACGTAAAGTAAAACAAAATTTCACGTATCTTCTACAGATCTATTCAGCTGATCACAGTTTAAAAAGAAAAAAAAAGATAATTGCATCCAGTTGATAAAACAGAGATATCTTCCTTTTTTTATGCACAAGAAAAGATGCTATGTTTAAATGTTATAACTCCACCACTACTATCTGAATGACAGGAACTTTTCCATTTCAGTATATAGGCACATTAATATTATGGCTATACAAAGCACATATAGTAAAGTATATGTGAGAAACTGCCTCACCCTTGAGACTGCAGTGCTGCGGTGCAGCTGCTAAACAAAACTAGAGTATCCTATCTCTCCTGTACTTTTTATGCCACTTCCATATGCTCAACAGGTTCAAGCTAACTTACATAATTGTTATTATTCTTTTGCAATAGCTTTGTAATATGCACTATGGTTGGCCTCTACGAATTGTTGGCCTAGCTGTGAGGTGTGGTAATAGAAATGTAAAGTAGTATTTCAGTACCTGCTATGTGGCTAAATATTTGGCTCAAAACTGTTTTGTTGCTTGAATCCCAATCCTCTGATCTGGAGGTTTTATTTAGAATTTAACCTGTTGATTCTCAACAGGCATCGTGTCATCCTCACTCTCTGATTGGCTAAAAAGGAAAGAAAAAAAATACAATTCCCAGGCCTTTCAGTGTTCAAGAAAATTAGTTTAAAAAAAGATAACACTCTTATCTGTACACTTTAGCAAATGAATCCTGAGCAAAAGCTATTTCTCTCCCTCCCCACTGCCAGGTATTTTGGAACATGCTAATTATATATTTGATTTTTTTTTTTGGTAGAGCCTTGCAAAACAACAGTCTTCATGGTAACGTGTTGGAGGTGGGTTGACATTGCTGTCTACCCCAAAATATCTCGAAAGTCTCTTAGGACACTTCAGGAAACAGTTGTTAGGAAACAATTCAGATATTTAGTCCTATGGTAAGCCAAACTGAAACATAACTGTAAAATAAATCAGTTCTTTCAGCTTTAAAGTTTTGAGGTCTGAAACAATTGTTGTATCTAGTCAGTGTTTTCACTTCAGACTGGATCATATAAAAAGCCACAATGTGCCCAAAAGTTTTCATGACTTGATATCATCTGTCTAATTGTGTTAGCTTGTTGCACACCTTCCTCTGGTAGAACCTGGAGCCTCGACTCCAGAAGACTGGACGATCTGCATATCATACCTGCAGGGCTGATCAGCCTTGGTCTTGTTCAGTCCTACCGTTTTGAGATATTTTTTAAGGACATACTCTCCTAACCATTTCCTCTGCTCTTATGTCTTATCAGCCCTCCTGTTTGCAGTAGTTGCTCTCTGTGACAGTTGTCTGGTAAGCACCACTAGACTCATAGACCTTATCACATCCTTTTGCCTCTGCTTACTTAGAAGTAGAAAGAGTG